ATTTACACACACACTTTTTTTTTTTACCCAGATAGAATAGAAGCTCCTTGAGGCCAGGGGTGGTTTCATGTTTGTCTTTAGATTCCCAATGTAGTGCACTGTGCCTGCTGCATAAAAGCAGAGGATCACAGACTTAGAGCTGCAAGGGTCCTACTCCACTCTTCTCATTTCACAGATAAGGAAACAGGCTCACAGAAAAGTTAAGCAGTTTGTCTGATCACACAGCTAGCAAGAAAGTTGAACTCAAGTCTTCCTGAGCCCAAGTCCAGCCCTCTACCCACTAGGCCATGCTGCTTCTCTCCAGAATGGGCGCCAATTAAATGCTTTTCCTAACTGATCTCTAAGGACCCATCCAGCTCTGACATTCAGCAATTCCCAGTGGTATGCGCAATGACAAATAAGTAAACAACCAAACCAATTTTAGGTCTCAGCTTTCTGACTCTAACGTCTGGGATCTTTCTGCTACAACATATTACTTCACAAAGATGCTGTAATAAGCAAATGATATATACCAGATTAAACTTTATAATATTTCACAAGCTTTCAATCAAATGTTTACTTTAGATGAATGCTCTTAACACATTCATGAAATGTTTTTGTTGTTTGGACAGAATTTTCCTTTCTAAAATAGGTCATGATCATCTCCAACATAAAAAGACAAAAATAATTTTAAGAGATTTTAAAGATGGATTTGACAAGAATTAATATTTTATTCTAAAGCCTGGTACTAATATTAGAGAAATAATATCACTTAACTGCACTGGGGACTTTTAATAGTAATGATAATGCTTTATATTTGCATGCTGCCAAAGAGGTCCATAACCAAAAAAAAAAAAAGGCTTTTAAGTCTCCTGTTCTCTTCGTATGAATGTGTGTCAAATTGTTTTTCAGTCACCTCTGACTTTTTGTGACCCTATTTGGGGTTTGCTTGGTAAAGATAATAGAGTAGTTTGACATTTCCTTCTCCAGTTCATTTTACATATGAAAACATGAGGCAAACAGGGCTAAGTGGCTTGCCCAGGGTCACACAGATGGTAAGTGTCTGGGGCCAGATTTGAATTCAGGAAGATGAGTCTTCCTGACTTCAGGCCTAGCACCCTATCCACTGTGGCACCTACTTTAATGAAAAATCTGTGGTATCGGTGTTATTTATAAATCAACTTTATTTACATCAAATCTTACCTGTAAATTTGAATCCAGGCAAGCCTATTATAAGAACGTGAGCAAGGACTATTTCCTCCTATGTAATATATAATATAATTTGTTCCTGAACTCTCTCCAATATGGCTTATAACTTCATCATTCAAGCAAAACTACTCTCTCCAAATGATCTCTTCACTAACAAATGGAATGATCTTTTCTCAGGTCTCATCCTTCCTGACCTCTCTGCAGCTTTTGACACTGTAGATCTCCCTCCTTTCCCTGAAATTCTCTTCTCTCTAAAACAGGGCTGGGGAACCTGTGGCCTCTAGGCCACATGTGGCCCTCTAGGTCCTGAAGTATGGTCCTTTGACTGAATAACTCAGAGGGCCACATGTGGCCTGGAGGCCCACCCCTCTCTAGGTTTTCAGGACTCTCCTCTCTCCTGGTTCTCTTCCTACTTGTCTGACTGTTCCATTGGGTCTCCTTTGCTGGATCTTCACCCAGATCATCCCCACTAACCATAAGAGCCCCACAGCGCTCTGTCCTGAGCCCTTTTTCCTTCTTCCTCTATGCTATTTCACCCAGTGACCACATTAGACGTTCCTACCCCACCCCTGGATTCAATTACCATCTTTATGATGATGATTCTCAAATCTATTTATCCAGTCCTACCATTTCTTCTGACCTCCATTCTTGCATCTCCAACTGTCTAACAGACATCTCAAACTGGATTTCCTATAGACATCTTAAGCAGAACAGGTCCCAAACTGAATTCATTATCTTTCTCCCAAACCCTTCCCCCCACCTCTAAATTTCCCTATTACTGTCAAAGTTACCGCTACCTTCCTAGGTTTGCAACCTAGGTGTCATATAGCTTTCTCACTCATCCCCCATATTCAATCTGATGCCAAGACTTGTAGATTTTACCTTCATAACATGTCTCAAATCCATCCCCTTCTCTACTCTGAAACCGCCACCACCATGGGGCAGGCCCTCCTCATTTCATGCCAAGACCGCTGCCAATAGCCCACTGGTTGGTTAACCTGATACAAGTCTGCCCCCGTTCCAATCCATCCTCCACTCGGTTATTGAAGGCATTTTCCAAAAGCGTGGGTCTGACGCCTGTCACCCTTCCTCCCTTAGAAACTCCAGTGGCTCCCTATCACATCTAGGATCAAATATAAGATCTTCTACTTGACATTCAAAGCCCTTCATAATCTGCTCCCACTACTTTTTCAGTCTTCTTACACTTTACACCTTACCATGAATTCTGCAATCCCAATGACACTTGCTGTTTCCTCCAGCTCTCGGCTCTCGGCATTTTCACTGGCCATCCCCCAGGCCTGGAATGCTCTTCCTCTTCATATCTGTTTTCTGATTTCCCTGGCTTCCTTCCAGTTCCAGCTAAAATCCCACATTGCACAGGAAGCCTTTCCTCATCCCTCTTCAGTCTAGTGCCTTCCCTTTGTCAGTTCTAATTCATCCCCTCTGTCTTGTTTGTACGTAGCTGGCTGCATGATGTCTCGCTCCCTGAGAGCAGAGCTCTCATTTACCTTTCTTGATATCCCCACCACAGTGTTTGGCACAGAGTAGACACTCAAGAATGTTTATTGACAGGCCCACTGACCAGATGGTCTCTCGATTCTAGAAACTAATATCTGTGGCAGTGAGGTAGAGCAGAGAGGAGGCTGGATTTGGGCTCAGAAAGACCGGCACTGGAATCCTGTCTCCGAAAATGGCTACGTGAGCCCGGTTGTTGTTTGCCCTTCATTCTCATGGCGTCCTCTTCCCGAGGTCATACATATATATGAATGTATAATATAATTATATATTATATATATAATTATTAAAAAAAATAGTATCGAAAAATTAAAAGTTTTATAACTTTTAATATAGTATATTCTTTTAAAAATGTTATATGGAACAGAGATTTTCATGTTCTTATAGAAAAAGACAAAGTCACATGATAAATGCATTGAATTATTAATTATTATAAATTAATTCATTTTTAAGATCAGTCTTTCTGGGATCTATCAGGTTCACTTGATCAATCAACAAACATTTTTTAAGAACTACATTTGCCAGGAACAAAGCTAGACCCTGGGAAGACAAAGACAAAAAGGAGATAGTCCCTGCCCTCACACAGCTGACTTTGTATAAATAAATGTGTTTGTTGTTGTTGTTTAGACATTTCAATCATGTCTGACTCTCCATGACCCCATTTTGGGTATTCTTTGCAAAGATAATGGAGTGGGTTGCCATTTCCTTTTCCAGCTCATTTGACACATGAGGAAACTGAGGCAAACAGGGTGAAGTGACTTGGCCAAGGTCACACAGCAAAGACGGATTTGGACTCAGGAAGATGAGTCTTCTCAGTGCTCTACCCACTGTATCACCTTGGGTGGAGTGTGTGTGTGTGTGTGTGAGAGAGAGAGAGAGAGAGACAGACAGACAGACAGACAGAGGGGGAGAGAGAGAGAGAGAGACTCTTTCAAAGTCAGTAGGGCACCTTCTCTGGCACATATTGTCTTGAAAAGCTTCCTAGGCCAAGCACTGAGAGAGACAATTACTTGTCCCTGGTCACACAGAACTTGAGAGATCTTGAACCCAGGTCTTCTTGGTTTCCTAGTGGGCTCTTTATATACCAGCTGCATCTTTTTCTTGATGAATTAATGCTGAATTGACCCAAATTAAGAGTGTGTTAATGAAGGAGGGGGTGGTGGTAAATGTATTAGTGTGGAAAAGAGCACGATCAAGGGAGGGAGAGCATTTTAATGGGATGAAGGGCATTGTAAGAGTCGAGGGGGTATATTAATAGGAGAGGGTTGAAAGTACATTAATGGCAGGAGGAAGCATCCTAAGGGAAAAGGGGGAGAAGAAAAGGCATATTAAGAGGTGGGGTAAAGGATGCATTATTGGATGAAGGTGCATTTATAGGGAAAAGGAATATTAATGGAAGTGAGGTCATATTAGTGGGAGAGGGCATACTGATGGCAGCAAGGGAGCACATCATTGAGAAGAGAGGTGATATTATTGTGGGGGAGGTCTTAATGGGAGGAGGGTATATTAATGGGGGAAGGGCATATTAATAAGGGAGGGCATAAGGCACATTAATGAGAAGGGGCAGGGTACACTATTGGAGGAGAGAAGAGAATATTATTAGGGGGCATGTTAATGGAAGGAGGGCATAAAGTATATTAAGTGCAATGGGTAAAGCCACATGGGGAGTGAGCACATCAATGGTAGAAGGGCATTAGGTAGATTAGCGGGAAGGGAAAGGTATATTATTGGAAGGAGAGGGTACATTAATAGGAGGAAGGCACATCAAAGGCAAGAGGGCATGTGACATATTAATGAACAGAAGGGCGCATTTTTTGGAAGGTGAAGGGGGTGCATTCAGGAGAAGACTATATGAGGCAACGGGAGAAGGGTGCATTATTGGAGGGAAAGGATGCCTTCATTAATGGAGGGGAGGGAAAGGCACATCTATGGGCAGGGGAAAGGTGCATTAATGGGGGGAGAGAGCATATAAATGGGAGTAAGGGCATATTAATAGGGGAGGGCAGAAGGCACATTAATGGACGGGGAATGGTGCATTCTGGAGCGGGAGTTAAAGGGAGAAAGGATATATGGGGGAGGGGGGCTGGCTCCTCAATTGCAGGAAGGCGCAAGCACATTAAATGCGCTGGGGCGAGGGGTCCTCAGTGGGGCTCCAGGGGCCCTGTCTACCTCTGCTAGTTGGGAGCTGGGCCTCCTGGGCCCTGAGAACTAGGGCTTGGCCGGGCTGAACCGGTCCGCGCATCCTCCTCCTCGTCTTTCTCCTCCCCCCTCCGGCCCCCGTGCCTCCCCGCACGTACCGGATCCGAGCGGCCGTTACGGCGTTGCCGGTGTGCGCTCGCAGCACGGCCAGGAAAAGGATCCGCATGGTCGCAGCCGGGGACACAAGCTGCCCTGGCCATGGACCGGCCTGGCCCGGGCTCCGGCTCGCAGCGCCGCCCCCGGCCCCAGCCCCGCCTCCAGCCAGGCCCCGCCCCCGCCCCTAGAAAAGCCCCTCACCCAGCCTGCTCGGACCCCTCCTGTTACCAAGAGACTGTGCGCCGCGGGGCGGAGGGGAGTGCGCGATCCCTCCCCAGGGTCTACCTCTGGCTCTGCGTGAGCCCCTCCATCTACGGCCCGTACCAATGGGGAAGGATGGGATGGGCCGGGGGGAGGTGGAGAGGTGAGGCTAAGGTAGGTGAATCGGGGATGCTCCCAGCTTACTGAGCATCTCCGAGAGCACGAGCGGCCCCTGGTGCCTGGCCAAGACCAGATGAAGAAGAGAGGAGGGAAGCGGGGCATCTCTAGCCAACTTCTCCCCAGGTTCACCGGCATCCTTTGGCATTGCCCATCCCCACTTCTCCGGAAGTAATGTCTCCCTCCTGGAGTTTTTCATTGCTCAGTTTCGGGCTCTCAGTTTCTTATGCAGACCTGTTCACGTCAGCCAATCAACAAGCTCCTCCTTTGTGCCAGGCTAAGACCTGAGGATACAAAGACATAATAAGCCAAAGCCTCTGCCCCCAAAGAAGAGTATAAGCTCCTTGAGGCCAAGGACAGGACTTTTTTTTTTAATATCCTGTCCTGAGAAGTTAACACAGTGCTTTATATACAATAGGCACTTAATAAGCGTTTCAGAATCAGTTTTTCAGAGTTGGAAGGGAGCTAGGTGGTGATATTAAGGGATTTACAAGTGCAAGGTCGTAGAACTGTCCTTGGTACTATCTCTGGGAACAGGCATGGTTAGAAACTGCTGGGGTATGTGGGGGTCTTCTTGGGGCAGTTGGAAACTGGTGGTCAGCAGGGTAGGAGCCTAAATTCCCTAGGGGTTGACATTGACATAGTGAATAAAGGCCTGGAGGTGGAGTCAGGAAGACCTGAGTTCAAATCCAGCCCTATACACTCACTAGCTGAGAGACTCTGGACAAGTCACTTACCCTCAATTACCTTGTCTGTAAATAGTAGTATGATAGTATGTCTAATAGTGTGAATGGCTTCCTAGCAAATCTTGTCACCCTCTCTGAACCTCAGTTTCCTCATCTCTGATGGGATAACAATGCCCATATCTACTTCACAGGGTTATTGTGTCTCAAATGAGAAAAAAATATATGTAAAGCACTTTGCAAATCTTAAAACTGGAAATGTCATATTGTTCTTATTATTACTTCCCAGACAGCATACTCCATTTCTCAATAGCACTAACAATTGAATTGAATAGCCAATGTCAAATACTTCTCTGGATTTGTGGCCAGGTACCCCTATTTGAGGGAACATTTAAGACAAAGATATAGAATTTAGAGCTGGAAAGGAACTTCATGTAGGCAGAAATCTGGATTCAAATTTGAATTTCCTTACTTGCTACCAGAATGAACTTGAGCAAATCACAATCATTTCTGAGAACCTCAGGCTCTTCAATAAAATAAAACAAAGAAGAGAAAATCAGGAACAGGATGGGAGAGGAAGTAGGGGATTGAATTCCATCCATTTCTAAATAAATGATTCAATCCAAATCCATATTTTACAGAAGATAGGATTTTGTTGTGGTTTTGGTTTTGGGGGGGTGTTTGTGTGTATGTGTGTGTGTGTGTGTGACTTTATTTGGGGTTTTCTTGGCAAAGATCCTGGTGTGGTTTGCCATTTCCTTCTCCAGCTCATTTTACAGATGAGGAAACTGAAGCAAAGAGGGTGAAGTGACTTGCCCAGGGTCACACAGCTAGTCTGATGCCAGATTTGAACTGAGTAAAATGAGTCTTCCTGACTCCAGGCCCAGCAATCTATCCACTGTCCCACCTAACTCTGCCCAAGGTAGAATTTAAAGCTGGTAGAAACCTTAGAATGAATCTAGTCCAGGCTGGGGAATTTGACTTGAGTCTGAAGGTTCTTCACCCCTAATCTAGTCCAGTCCTGTCATTTTACTAAAGTGGGAGACTGAGACCCAGAGAGGTGGAGACTTGCCCAAGATCAGTTGCATAAAGACTTCTCAGTACAGCATTAAAACTTTTCATGACAAAACTTTAATATTTTAGGAAACAAATATGATGGATTAGCAAAGGGATAAATTAATTTCCTACAACTGATAAAGTCTCAGGTCCCTAATTCCCCAGAATACTGTTTACCTCATCTTGTCTGGAGTCCTCTTGAACTCCCAACAAACACTGATTTAAGTTAGTTTTGCTGAACTGTATTTGTCTTTCTTCTCTATTGTCTAGAAACGAAGGTGATATAAAAACAAAAGAGTTCAAGAAAATGATAAAAGTTTTAAACATAAAAAAACTAATAGAAAAGGGGAAAGAAATATTGATTTCTCCTAACTTCGTGGTCTTATGCAGGTTACTTCCCCTTTTAGACCTTAGTTGCCCTGTCTGTGAAATGAAGAGGTTGGACCATCAATCAGCCAATCAATCAATAGGGATTTTGTAAGTGCTTACTCCTTGGTATGAACTGTGCTAAGCAGGGGATACAGAGAAAAAAACAAAAACAGTCCCTGTCCACAAAGGGCTTACATTTTAATGGGAGAGACAATATATATCTGAGTAGGTATGATCAAATCAGTCAATAGTTAAAGAAATTCATTCAGAAATTCTGTTCACTAGAAGGCCAAATACTGAAATAAATACTTTGGCCACATAATGAGAAGACGAGACTTATTGGAAAAGATCCTGACGTTAGGAAAGATTAAAGACAGAAGGAGCAGGAGAAGGCAAAGGATGAGATAGTGTCATAGAAGTGATGAATATGAACTTGGACATACTTCAAGAGATAGTGGAGGATAGAAGGGTCTGTTGTGGTATGGTCCATGCTGTCATGAAGAGTCGGACGTGACTGAACAAAAACAACAGGTATGTCTACACAAGACATACATAAAGTGTAGTAATGAAAGGAAATCTCAGAAGAAGAGGTATTACCAGAAAAGGGGAGATGACCAGAAAAGGCCTCCTGAAAAAGTTAGTGTTTAAGCTGAGTCCTGAAGAAACCCAAGAATTCTAGTCCTTAGTAGCTTTCATGAATTTGCTGTGTTAAAAAAGAAAAAGTCTCCTCCCCCTCTGCTTTGGCCACCCTCCTGATTGGATGAATTCAATGGGAAAAAAAGATGATGGGATTTGGAGTCAGAGATGTGGTAGTATATTAAAAACCTCTTTTCTAAAAACCTGTTTAGAAATAAATATTTCTCTGATCTAAAAGCCCTTGTCAGACTTGTCCCCTTCCCTTAGAAAGATGGGTGATAAATTGAGAACAAAAAGGCCTTTCTTAGGGAAATTAATTAAGGGTAGCAATTGAATTTAGAACTAAGAGTACCTGGGTCTGTTTAAGATCATGACATATTAATATATTGCCTATACTTTAAAAATTATAACATTTTCCTTCTTCAAGATTCCTATAAATGTTACCTCAAGCTCTTTTAAGGGAGGGCATGGGGGATACTATGCCAGTCTGGACATCTCTCTATTTCTCTCTGTCACTATGCTGTCTCCATCTCTCAATTTCTCTTTCTCTCACTCTCTCTCTCCATCTCTCTTTCTCCATATCTCTCTCTCCAAGGGGCAGCTAGGTGGTGTAGTGTATAGAGCACTGGCTCTGGATTCAGGAGGACCTGAGTTCAAATCCGGCCTCAGACACATAACACTTACTAGCTGTGTGACCCTGGGCAAGTCACTTAACCCCATTGCCCAGCCTAAATAAATAAAAAAATAAATTAAATAAAATAAACAAAAACAAAAAAAACATATCTGTCTCTCCATCTCTCTCTCTCTCTCTCTCTCTCTCTCTCTCTCTCTCTCTCTTCTCTCTCTTTCAGAATTCTTTCTCACCTGTTCCCTCTCAGAAATGATATGGGCATTCAGTCAACATTTAAATTAAATAAAATTGTTTCTGGCAGACTTGTACCTAAAATGTAGAGTATTAATGTTTTTTTTTCTTCAATCCAGCTTGGAATCCCAGATCTGCTACCTAATCTATGTGACTCTGGGCAAGAAATTTCCCCTCTGAACCTCAACTGTAATTTTTCTGAACTGTAAAATTAAGACATTGGACTAGGTGGGTTCTAAAGTTCCTACTGATTGTAATTCTGTGGTTCTCATGATCCACACTTAGCCAGACTGTTCTTCAGATGACAGACATACACAGCCTATATTTGAGCTGTATTTGGAATTTTCCCATTTAGATAAGACTTACTTACCATGACTTAGGCTCTGCTGGCAAAGCCTTTTAGACCTCTGGATCGTTTTCAAATTGTCATGAAGCATGAATTAGGAGGGATTTTGTGGAGAAATATGTTGTAGTAAAACTGGTCTACTTTCTGTTCCCCATACATTATATTCCATCTACTATCCTGTGCCTTTGCATAGGCTGACCTCTATGCCTAGAATGCCCTCTCTCCTCACCTCCACCCCTTAGAATCCCAAGCTTCCTTCAAAACTCGGATCAAATGCCATCTCCAATGTGAGGCCATTCTTAATCCCACCCCTCCCCCATGATAAAAAGTACCCTCTTCCCCTTGGGTGATAGGGGCCTCCAGATGCATCAGTTTGCATTTTACTGGTTGAATCTAACCCCAGAATGCTATGGAACCTAGTGAAAGAGCTCTATAATTGCTCTGTATGGCAAACTTGTGAGAAGTCTTAGATAAAACTCACACAAGTTGGGCAGGCATGGCTGGGTTGTTTTCTGTGTTATTTATTAATGGGAAGAATCAAACCAATGACATTACAGATCCATTTGGAGTACAAAGGGCCCCTCCCTTTAGCTCCACTGGAATCAGGGGAGAATACTTACAAGGGGAGGTGAGATTTGGAAAGGAAGAGAGAAGACCCCCATTATGATTTTATAAGAGAATTAAGCTTCAGTTGTATTGGGTATGCTTTGTATTTACTTAGGTACCCCACTTCCCCAACCAATCCTCCCACCAAAAAAAATGTAAGCTTTTTTGTCG